TTAGTGCAAATCTTCTCTCTCCATCACTTATGGTTTTTGCAGCTACTTCGCTTAATTAAAAAGGTTGTCTCTATTTCAACATCGAAGTCTCTAAATTGAGAGTCTATCACACTCCGGCGCTTTGGTGATTTAAGACGTTCAAGGCAGTTTTGAGTTCCGGTTTGCGGGTACATTTACATTTATCTGGCGGTTTACGGTTGGAAAATTATCGCGCGGTTGAGGGAAATCATCAATTTCACGCGAAAAATCGATATCGCACGAATCGCGAGGCGATGGGTGCGATATCGTTTTTTTTTTTTAATTTAACGTGGAATTCACGAGTTAGGTATGAATTTTCCTTGAACCCCATAGCCTTCTTCTTAAATGAAAGAAAATTTATCACTTAAATCACCCAAATATCTTTCCGGAGTCTCAAAAAAATCTCCTAAATATCACAAAATTTTTTTCTAAATATCTCGAAAAACGCTCTAAATATCTCCAATTTATGTCGTAAAAATACACCGATTTTGTATCACTTCAGGTCGAAATTTTTAAAATTTCTTGCAGTGGCAGGAGTTGAGGAAGAAGATTCGATGTTACCAGTATCCGCCATTCTTGAAATTTGTTCCTTCAGCGCTTTTAGTGATACACGATACATTTTTCGAACGGGAAATGGCTGAACTGAATTGTTTCTGGCGTAAAGCTGCGTCTTAATTCAAGGGAATAGCGAGAAAAACACAAGGCTAAGCCAAAAAAGTTAGGAATATTTCTAAATGTCCCTAATTTTTCTAAATATCTTATAATTTTCTAAATACCTCGGAAATTCTAAATATCCTCCCCCCCCAACAAAATCCGGATATTTGTGGAAGGACAACATCTACGTCTGTGTGAATGTTGCAATACTCAACGCGCGCTCGAGAAAAGCCATTCCAGTTGAATCAACTGTCAAGACTGTCAGGAGCCAGCGAATAGAAACAGGGAACAGAGTAGTCCTATTTGAACGTGTTTCCAATTAAATTCACCGTATAATTGTAGCGCGAATCGATTTGTTGTTGATTCAAATCACTGTACATGGTCAAACTGTAAAGATGTGATCGTGTTAAGCGTCTACTGAAATTCTATCGGCAAGACTAAAGCCACATACAGTAGTGACTAAGAGCTATCACTCGTGGTAACTATCAGTAAACCGACACTTCGTGCCTCGCATGGAAAGCTTCGCTTTCCGGAATCGTCGCTCTTCGGGCGACGACCATTCAAGCGGATAGGATTTCAACAGACGAGTAACAGTAGATCATATGATATTCCAGTCAAAATGAGAAAGTAATGAGATTTTTTTTCTAAAACAAAATAGGAAATCTTTCCCAAGGCAATCACTGGGTA